GAGAGAGAAGGAGAGAAGAGTGAGAGAGAGAGAGAGTGAGAAAGAGCGTAAGAGAAAAAGGGAGAGAGAGAAATGGAGAGAGAGAGAGAGGGGGGGGGGAGAGAGAGAATGGAGAGAACGGGAGAGATAGAGAGATATAAAGAAAGAAAGCGAGAGACAGAGTGTGTGTGTGTGAGAGAGAGAGAGAGAGAGACGAACAATTATGCTACTACAATCTAACGCAGCACTAATTCATTGCAGACGACAGCGAGAGCAAAGATCAGCAGAACGGCACCAAGCGTCGGCGCAGTCGCACCAACTTCACCGGATGGCAGCTCGAGGAATTAGAACGCGCCTTCGAGACGAGTCACTACCCCGATGTATTCATGCGCGAAGCTCTCGCGTTAAAACTAGATCTCGTGGAATCAAGAGTGCAGGTAAGAGCAGTTCGATAAAACTCGCAAATTTCGTTTTTTCGGGGAGTGGGATGGGTTTTTGACACTAATTATCTCGATTTAATTAATATTTATCATTAAGGTAATATTCGAACCCCCAAAATGAGCTGATGTCACTCAGGACCGGTTAGTTTATATCGGGTCCAAGAACAAACACGCGCTCAACACAATGCGTAAGTTCCTCATCCTATATTAGCGCGACTAATATTTAAGTTCGCTTCCCCTGAGCGCTCGCCGTCCGCCGCTAAGTGTGTTTTAATTTGTTCGTCTTGTGCGACGGCAACACCGACGCTGCCGCTCCGACACACACACACACACCCCCGCGTGCGCGCGCACGCCGAAAAATCAACCTTGTCGAGAATTAACCCTATGTTTACACCTTTAAGTGTAGCATCCGTCCGCGCGCGGGGGAATTCACCCGGGCCGCAAACAAAGACGGTATTTAGGAATTCCTTTACGCGACTTAAAGAGGAGGAAGGGCAGTAATTTGGCCGGCATGCGACTACGGGGTCGCTACGACGCTGTCGTCGTGTCTGCGCACAATTGCTTTTCACTTGCCGCGCTGGCGGCACGTTTCAAGTCGTCCGAGCCGACACAGTCTATCTTTACCTTCGCCCCGCATTTGCATCTGTAAGGCAGAGGCAGAAGATCGCGTTTTAATAGCATAGAAGCCCGAGGGTGACGTCTTGTGCGAACGTCGCCCGACGACGTCGCCGCCGACGATGCCGCCGCCGCCGCTGCTGCTGCTGCGCCGAGACTCTCTCGTCGAATAATGAAATGTTTTTATTGCTGCTCGAAATCAATATAGTCGGCGTCTTTTTTTCCATATAATTGTTTTCCCCTCGCGCGCGCGAATGGTATATGGTCGCTCAGCGTTATGATTTGTATCATGGGAGGCCGGGTGGGGGGAATGCGACACGGACGGGTCTGTATGGGTAACGCGCATACTCAGTGATCTTGCTTAATAAATCATATATTATATATTATATATATACTATATATATTCATATATATATATAATAACACATTTCTGTGATTAACTATTACGAAATCTGAGGTTTCAGTGGTGTGACTCGGTATGACGCAAAACATTGCTCGAAACCACGATTTAAATAGCGCGCTATAAACCCAAACGCTAAACACCCGTTACAACGATTGGCAATAATACACCGTATAAACTTTTCGGCGTTCTCATCACTCACGTAACGTCACACGAATATACGCAACACACAGCCACACACACACACATACACAACACACACACACACACACACACACACACACACCCAGCACACGCGCCGCGCGGCGCGCGCGCGACACAACATGCACACGCCGACGTGCATGCATGCAGCGCCTACGAGTCTGCCTGTGTGTTTGTGTGTGTGTGTGTTGTGGTGGTGTGTGGCGTGCGTGCGTGCGGCGTGGGCGTGCGTCGTGTGTGGTGTGTTGTATTTGCGCGCGTGCAGCGTTGTAATGATGTGGTGTTGTTTGTATTGTTAAATGTTTATGGTATCATGCTTGTAATGTATGATATAATGTCCATGCGGAGCGTTCGCGTGTGTGTATAATGTTAATGGGTTGGTTTGGCGCCCGGTATTGTGTGTGTGTGTGTGTGTGTGTGTGTGTGTGTGTGTTGTGTTGTACATGTTTATAAATTTACGTGGATGTAGTAATGCAATGGTAATCACGTGTGTGCGTGCGTGTGTTTATGTGCGCGCGTGCGTGCGTGTGCGTGCGTGTGCGCCCCTCGCTGCCGGCACATGTGTAGCCGTTTGTAATGAGCCGGCTTGCCTTTGTTTTCTAATTACACAGTCGCCGTAGAAGGTCGCCTCGACGCGTGTCACCAACAACGTCGCCTGCTCATTTGTCCAGCCGCGGCGACAGAGGCTCGTGCGCGGCGCGGCCAACGGCACAGACACAACAACGAGGCGATAAGATAGCAAGAGATACGGCACCTGCACGCTGCACGTCCGCTGATGCGGCTCAAGCCCGCGCTGCTGCTGCTGCTACTGCTGCTGCTGCGCTGCTGGCTGCGCACCTGCTGCTGCTACTGCTCTGCTGCTGCTGCTGGCTACTACTCTGCTACTACTACTGCTAACGCGGCTGCGGCTACGCGCGCTGACAACACTGCTGTTGTTTGGTGATGTGGTGGTGCTGCTGCGGCTGTGCTGGTGCTGTGTGGTGGTGATGGTGGGCTGGCTGCTGCTGTTTGTGTGTGTGCTGCGCTGCTGTGGTGTGAACGATGCTGCTGCTGCTGCTGTGTTGGTGTGGGATAGTGGTGCTGCTGCTGATGATGATGATGCTGCACGCTGCGTTGCTGGCTGATGCTGTCGCGCTGCAGGCGGTCTGCTCGGCGCTCGCAAAGGAAAAAATATATCGTACTAATACACTGAGCGTGCAGTGCGCAGCGCGTATATATATATATATATATATATATATATACATATATATATATATATATATATATATATATGACGAGAGCTACGTCGTTATTGTCGTGCCTCTGTTATCGTAACGACATTACGAGCGAAGTATTACAGAATTTTATGGGGCGATGAGATGCGGATAGAGACAGAAAGAGAACATGAAATAGCGAATGAAAAAAAGATAGAGTAAGAACGAGAGGGACTAAAAGAGAGAGGGTGGGAGAGAAAGAGAGTGAGAGAGAAGGAGAAGAGAGAGAGAGAAAGAGAGAGAGAGACGAGAAAATAAGGAAAAAAAGAAGAAGAAGAAAGAAAAGAAGAAAAGGAAGAAAATAAACGAGTTAGAGCGAGAATGATGTAGCTAGCTAGCGGTAGAGAGAGAGAGAGAGAGACAACCAGAGAGAAAGAAAGAAAAAGAGAGAGAGANTATATATATATATATATATATATATATATATATATATATATACCTACACTCACTCGAAATGCACGTTCGGCTCGGAAATTCGATTCGGCCTCTGACTTTCACTGAATCGAACTGGTCCGTGATAAACGCGCATAGAGAGAGAAAAAATAACCGAAAATAAAACCGATGCCATGCCAGACATCTTGTCCATGCGTGTTGCTTCTTTGTCGTGTTTTGGATTCAATTTATGCTAGCCAGATATACAAGCATCTTGAATGTTCCTGAACTGATCAATTACAAGACTATATGTTAGAATAGAATTCACTGTAGTGCATGCCGGCATATAGCCACTCACGTCGACAACTCATACCGCGTTGCGAATTGTGCGATACGAAATGAGAAGATAGCCCCCGAACCAACATCCAATTAACTAGCATTTCCCACGATGAATATCATTATTTCAATAGCAATACGAGACGTTGAAGAAAATTCGCGAGGAGATGTAAGGCATGCGAATCACGTAAAATACTGTCGTAATGATTATATACAATATATTATATACAACGATATTATATTAAATATTAGCTGCGTGACATTAACGATCGACTTTTCCCACATCGGCAAAACCTGACATCATTTATAGCAATAAATATCGCGTATCTCGCCTAGAATAAAATGAGGAGAAAAGTGTTCGTTAATTAATTTACGCGAGCTGAAAAAAATTTATGTTCGCGTACATTTAAAATACGGGGGAAATCTGTAATTTCGATTTCGTATACCGATCTACGTAAAATCAAGAGCTAATATAAAACCAATAGCTAAATATAACGGTATTATTAGCTCTTGGTAAAATATGCAGGGAAATCATGACTGTGTCACGCGCCGTAATGGACACGGGAAATGACACTATGACGAGTCATCACGCTGGCCCCGCATATAAATATTCCCCTAAGTATTCATCCAACATCTATCGTAAATAAGCGCGTGCGAGAGAGAGAGAGAGAGAACGAGAGAGGGGTGAAAGAGAGGAGAGAGGAAGGGAGAGAGAGATAGAACGAGAAAGAAAGAGAGGAGAGTGAGGTCGAGAAAGAGAGAGAGAGAGAGAGATGGAGGAGAGTGAGTAAGAGAGAGAGCGAGAGAGACAAGAGAGAGAGAGAGAGAGAGCAGAGAGAGAGAGAGAGAGAGAGAGAAGAGAGAGAGAGAGAGAGAGAGAGAGAGAGAGTAAGAGAGATGGAGGAGAGTGAGTAAGAGAGAGAGAAGGAGAGAAGAGTGAGAGAGAGAGAGAGTGAGAAAGAGCCGTAAGAGCAAAAAAGGGAAAGAGAGAAAGATGAGACGAGAGAGAGAGGGGGGGAGGTGGGTGGGAGAGAGAGAGAAGAATAGAGAAGGCTGGGGGAGCGATAGGGGAGGGAGAGTATTAGTAAGAGAATGAAGCGAGAAGCAGGAGTGGTGTGGGGTGTGAGAGAGAGAGAGAGACGAACAATTATGCTACTAAGATCTAAACGCAGCATTCTAATGTCATGTGTGGCAGACGACACGAGAATGCACAAGATCAGCAGGAACGGGCGGCAGAACAAAGCGCGGCGCAGTCGCACGCACCAACTTCACCGGATCGGCAGCTCGAGGAAATTAGAACGCGCCTTCGAGACGAGTCACTACCCCGATGTATCATGGGCGCGAAGGCTTCCGTCGCGTTGACAAAACTAGATCTCGCTGGAAATCAAGAGTGCAGCGTAAGAGCATGTTCGTAACTATACTCGCAAATTTCGTTTTTCGGGGTGGGGGATGGGTTTTGACACTATTATCGTCGGATTAATTAATATTTATGCATTAAGGTAATAATTCGAACCACCCAAAAATGAGCTGATGTCACTGCAGGACCGGTTTAGTTTTATAGCGGGGTCCAAGAACAAACACGCGCTCAACACACCGGAGGATGCGTAAGTTCCTCATCCTATATTAGCGCGACTAATATTTAAAGTTCGCTTCCCTGAGCGCTCGCCGGTCGCCGCTAAGTGTGTTTTAATTTGTTCGTCTTGGTGGCGACGGCAACCGACGCTGCCGCTCCGACCACACACAGGGCGGCATGCTACACCCCCGCGTGCGGCGGCAGCGTACAGACCGCAATATGGGGGTGGCGGTCGTCCAAAATCACC